TTTAACAGAACAATAGTATATTTCGTACCTAGGGCCGAAAATGAGGTGTTTTGCTGGCTCGAGATAGTTCGAGACGAAGTCGAGAACTTAAATCGATCGAGAGCTGTAAAACCATTTCGGTCCGAGGTACGAACGCTATTTTTCACCACTGCACCGTACTATTTTGTTAGAAACTGGAACAGATATATTTTGTTCCATTAAATAAATAATAAATCATCAAAAATATAGCTCAGATCAAAATGAAGCGCATTATGTTTATGTTTATGTTTTATAGTAATGTATGTAAATTAAATTGAATTTTGCTTGGTCAACAAAACTTTTTAATTTGCCAGATAGAGAATGAAAGGTTTAAAAAAAATATACTTACTGTAGGCTAATTAAAAATAAATGTGTTGGCTCCTGTTTGAAAATAAAAGTAACTAATAACTAACTAAAACCCAAAATAAAGCTCTAAGCATGAAATAAATATGTTTTTTATGACAACTATCCATTTCATGGTAGACTACAATCATTTTGAGAAATGTATGGGTTTCGAATAGGTATTTTACTTAAACATTATCTTTGTCGAATGCCTACAAACTAACCGTAAGGTAGCTTTGTAAGGTAAGGTAGGTTGTAAGGTAGGGCAATATCATCAGACTTGGTATCGGAAGTCTAGTGCCCTAAACGCAAATATCTTAACTAAATCAATAGTTTAATTTTTACTCAAAGCAAATTTAATTTAAAAGCCTCTAATAAAAAAAAACTTGAATATTATTATTATTGCAGGAAATGCTAAATAGAGCTTACTCCTTGTTTAAATGGACAACATATAATAGACCTAACACAGTACGGAACTGTATTTATAGCTTTAGTAAACTGTAATGAGAAAAAAATAAAACAAATTTATTGCTCTACACCTATATTTGATTATAAACTAATTGAGAAATTATCTTTATGAGAGAAGTTTTGACAATGGAAATCAAACAAAGAAAAAGTGCACCAAACATTATATATTTTTAAGATATTTCCATAAGTTTAAATTAAAATTTTTACAGTTATTAATCACGAGGAACATCTCCAGCAGCGAGTGTTGATGGCTGTCTGTTTGACCTGAAAAACAGAAATTAAAGATATTTTGTTGTCTCAATAAAACTGATGTTTTGCAGTATTTTTTTAAGTTGTCATATAGGTATTCTCGCAATAAATTATGTGACTTTGACAAATATATGGATTATAATTTCCATTTGATCTTAAAATACTGATTATTCGATGTGATAAATGTTGTGTTTTGAAATATCGCTCTGTGTGTGAGCCAATTAATTGCAAAACAACTATAGGTACGGTGTTCCAAATTAATTAATTAGGCCTAAGTAATTTCTTTGATTAGGTTTCCAAACAAATTCAGAAAATAGTCTGATTGGAATTTTGCCGCCGAAATGAGTCTTGCGCGGCCGACGCTAGGATCGCCTGCATGGTGGCAGCACTACTCTATCTCATTCAGTAAACTGACTTGGCCGCGCGTTTTCTAGATAGTCTACCTCAAGATGCATGGAGTAATAGTGCACTTTTACTCCATACATCTTGAGTCTACCTAGCTGCCGATTTTGCAAGAAATGAGACATTAAAGGTAAAAAAATTGCTGCATCCAATACCACTTGTTAGGTATCTGCGTTGCGCTGATATAATCTTAATAAATTAATAACTTGTAATAAAAATAAGAAAGAGCTTTTAATGGACTGTATTGTGTATATTTTGAAAAAGAATGAATACAACAGATGTTAATTAAATCAGCACCAAAACAAATGTTATAGAGGAAACAAGCAAAGAGTATCAAACACCACTGTACCATATACATGTAGCTTTTCTCACACTCAGTGGGGTCTTGACTCAATATATAACTAAAATTGAAATCTAATTGATTTGACCTGCATAATTGACATTGACTTGATATGATACTCTCCATGCACAGGCCTGAGGCCCACGTGGACAGGCAAATGTGAGGTAAAAAGTTTAAATAATCCTTGAATTTAACTGGTTCTATTAATATGTCACAGGTATGGTAAATGTTTTTATTAATATAGTTAGAATAATCTAAATGGCATTTTCATTAAGTACGATAGCCAAACTAACAGAAGAACTGTGTACAGTTTCAATGGAAACCTAAATACAGGGTGTCTATATAACTCTTAGGTTTGACATATACATATCTCAAAAGATTGGAAATATGAAGTTAATTTCTCAATAACAAACAGTTCAACTCATATAGGCCTACCAATTGTAAATTTTTGGTCATTATTTTTGGCAACGCTGTGGCATATAAAATTTGAAAATATCTAGAGTTGCAATGAGCCAGAAAATGGTGCTAGTAAATGGGGAGTTATTTTATAGACACCCTTTACTCATAATAATTTCTTATTAATCACAAAGAAATAATTAAAATTAAATTGAAAAAATACCTCTTCATCAATCTGGGCGTGGCTTGCTGCAGCCACTTCTTGACTGAATTTCTCATATCCTCCGTCGATGCTTCTCGATGCTTTCGCCTGACAGCATCTATAAATCAGAAAAAGTATAGATCAGAAATCGGTTCACTAACTTCAATTGTAATAAATTTTGGAAATGATTAATTAAATAAATCACACCCATCAACGTGTACTGAACATACAAAGAAAAGAGTAAAGTATCAGAGCAGAAATACCCCTGAAGCAGCAAACCTGCAGACTAAGGGAATATCAATTAGTCTTAAATTGGATTTATGCAAAAATATTTCCATAAAGCATATTAGCATATTTTCCCAATTTAAGTAAAGTTAAAGATCTAACTAATACTTAGGTTTGCTATTATGGGGAATGTACAAATACGTTTTTTGAACAAATGTTGATATTAAGGTGAAGTAGTAGGGGTTAGGGATGGAAATTATCGTTGTTTTCCGGCAACGGTTGTAACGATAACGCAGCTGCCCAATAACGTGTTGCGGCAATACTTAAAATATTCGTCATGACGAGAAACCTTGCGCAAAACTATCCATATTTTTCATAAATTGCCCTTTAAGGTCATAATTGCTTTCTAAAGGGAACTTTCCATATACTTAATGCTAAACATACTTCAGCTGTTCTAATTTTGTATGTTGTTATTTCAATTTATTACCTTATTAAAATCTGGTGTGATATTTTGTTTGTAATGCTGTAATCTGTTTTGTTTGTTTCAGCTTAACTTAACCAATCAATAATTTTATGAATACTTATGAAGTCAAACGGGTTGAAGCCTGTGGGTAACAGCTAGTTTTAATAACGCTTGCCAACTCGTTGCTGCTAAAATCATTCCCTAATATGAAGCATAGGTATAAGATTTAAGATAGGCAAGTCATTCAATTTCATTAGACTTGTGTATCATGCAAAGTGAAGTGGGTTACCAGCTTATGCCAATACTACCATATGTACTACATGTGTGGTCATTCAGTGAAAATAATAGAATTTACACAAAAATGTTTCTAGGCCTTCAACTTAAGTTTTGGACTCACAATAAATCAAATACACCCGCTGCAGCAAACCTGCAAAGTGCAAACTAATCGAATTACCATTTGCCTGGATTGATTTTCAATTAATCTATTAAATTAACATTTATATTTAACGAGTACCTAGGTTAGCTGCTACAGGGAAACTAACAGTGTGTGCTTTTATTAAATCATCAATAGCTTATTATGAAATAAATAAATCCACCAAGTTTGATCAAAATATATCCATAAACAAGCCAACTACAACATTTTAAAAATTGTCCATACGAATTACATAGGATTTTTAAATTAATTTTTCTTTTTTTTCTCCCTAACCAATCACCGTACAAAAACAATTTTGATATACTACATTATTTGTTTTTTAAGCTCTTTAAAAAGGTCTGGAAAAAATTTTAAACATGAGAAACCCTTATTTGTAACCCATAAACCCCATATGAAACGATCATGCTGGTTCACGAACTCATTCAAGTTAATCCCGCCTTAAACCTTCAAACCAATTTTTATCAAAACCGGACAAAAATTACTCATGTTATCGTCTGGACGGACACACACACACATAATATATATTATATTATGTGATATGGATCGCAGGTCGAGGTTCGTTAAATGATAGGCATGTTAACGTTGGCATGGGTTTATTCAAAGTGACCGAGCACTCAATCTAGGTCTAACGGTACAGTTCAAACTCAGTACAGTCCAAGTACAACAACAAGAGTACAGTCTGGTCGAATGATATAAAACTAACATGATATATATAAAAGAACATATTATGACATCTCCCTCTTTTAAAAAGAAAAAATTACATTTTTTTACAAATAAAATATTCAATCTTTTTTTTCAAAATTAAAAATTAGGCTACTTTTACATACCAACAGTTTTTTTTTTATTTTTGATTTACATAACAAATTAAACTAAGCCTAACACATCTGAACAGCAATATAATCATCAAAGTGAATTTACAATAGTCATAAAATTACCAAATATAAATTTACAATACAAAATCACAATATAAATTTACGATACAATTAATAATCAAAATTTGAATTTTATAAGGCATAGTTACTAGCCTAAATGAAATCAATAGAGCGCAAATTTCAAAGTATTAAAACTAAACAAGGTTACTGGAAACAACAATTAATCATAAAAAATATACAGAGTTTGAAAGTTACCACAAGAATTATAGACACGTTAGGCTAAGTACAATAAAAGAAACATAAACATGGATATTACAATAAAAAATTAAAATACTTCAAGTTAGGCCTACCTATAATATAAATCATTAGGGCCTACAAATTCATTTTGTCGACTGGTTTTATCATACGGCCAGAACGGGTCGTGTAGTGATTGTGGTCAGCAGGAAAGTGTACATGTCTAGGACTGTTAGGCCTTTCAGGAGATGAGGTTACTTCTTTGGCAGGAGACAAGATTGGTCTCAAAGGAGATTGGCTATGCCGTAGGCTATGGGAAGGAGACTTGATTGGGGATCTGGTCTTTACAGGCGATTTCGGGTTAATACCAGGTACATCATTACTACTGACAAAATAAGGCTTACATGATACATTGAATGGACGGAGATCCCGTCTGTTTCTAACATAAGTCTTGTCTGAACGTTCACTTTGTACAATATAAGACCTAGGCTCATCTCTCTTTCCAACAATTTGACCTTTTACCCATTTGTTTTTGTATTTCATCAAGGCATGTTCATTTACCTGCAAAGGCCTTAAGGGCTTTGCACCTCTATCATAATACCTTTTTTGAGAGTCCTGTCTTAAAATTAAGTTTTTTCTAACATTTTTCTGTACTCTAGGCCTAAGCATTTTTTCTTGACATGGCAAAATACCATTAAGTTTCCTACTGAAAAGAATTTCTGCTGGAGAAGGCAGATTACAACTGATTGGCGTATTTCTTAATTCTAAGAGAGCCAAATACAAATCAGTTTTTTCTAGCACAGACTTTTTGATCAGATTTTTAACACTTTGAACAGCTCTTTCTACCATCCCATTTGATTGCGAATAATGAGGACTTGTGCGTACATGTTTGAATTCCCAACACTTTGAGAAATTATCAAACTCACTACTGTTAAAACTAGTATCAAAACCAGAAATCACAACTCTAGGAATACCATGTCTGCTAAATACAGATTTCAAACTATTTACAACATAAACACTAGTCATATTTTGCAAGATCACAACTTCAACATATTTAGAAAGATAATCGACAACTAGTAAAAACTTTTTATCTTCAAAAAAGAAAATATCAATGCCTACCTTGTCCCAAGGTAGCTTTGGTACCTTGTGTGGCATCAGAGGTTCCTTTACATTGCTGTTTGCATTCAAAATACATGTTTCACACTTTGATATAACATCTGAGATTTGGGAGTTCATTTGCGGCCAATACATTACATTTTTTGCCCTGAGCTGAGTTTTGGTTACCCCTAGATGTGGATAATGTAACCTTTTGAGCATTTCATTTCTGATTCCCCTCGGAATCACTATGCACGGTCCCTTAAACAACAAACCATTACAATAGGTTAAGTCATCTTTAACAGACCAATATTGTCGCACAGATTCTGGAAGCTTACTTTTGTGGTTAGGCCACACATTACCTTTAACAAACTTAAGCAATGTAACAAGTTCACTATCATTAGCAGTATACTCTTTTAACTTAGACATGTTAATAGGATCAACATTCAGGTTTTGAGTTACATAATTAACATGAGCTTCTATGTCATCAGTGTCCAAGTTGAGTTCACTAGTATCGGAGCCATCAAAAGAACGGGACAAAGTATCCGCTATGAAAAGTTCTTTGCCACGTTTATACACTAAATTAATGTCATACTGCTGCAATTTTATTAACATCCGCTGTAGCCTAGGGGGACACAAATCAAGATTCTTCTTGAAAATTGCTACCAGTGGTTTATGGTCCGTTTCCACAGTGATGGTTGATCCAAATATGTACTGATGAAAACGTTCGCAGCCAAACACCACAGCTAAGAGTTCCTTTTCAATTTGGGAGTAACGTCTCTGCGTTTCATTTAACGCTTTGCTGGCATAGGCTACAGGCAGATTGTCTTGTAGCAGTGCACTACCTAAACCATTTTGAGAGCTATCTACAGTCAGTACAATAGGCTTGTTTACATCAAAGAACTGTAAAACAGGTCTGTTTGTTAACAATGATTTAAGTTTTTCAAAAGCCTTTTGTTGTTCATGTTGCCAACTAAAAATACAATCTTTTTTTAAAATAGAACGTAGAGGTGTTGTGTGCTCGGATAGGTTAGGTATGTACCTATTTACATATGTCACAAGACCTAAAAATCGTTCTAAAGACTTGCGGTCTGTTGGAGGTTCCATACAGGTTATTGCTCTGATTTTACTTTCATCAATGTCAATGCCATTTTGTGTAAATTTATGCCCAAGATACTTAATTTCTGTTGTGCCTATTTTACATTTCTCTTTATTTAGCTTAATATTTTCAACTCTCATTTTGTCTAACACTAACTTTAGTCTCGCATCGTGTTCCGCTTTTGTACGACCCCACAAAATAATATCATCAACGTAAACCTCGACCCCTTCGAATTCATCAAAGATTTGTCTCATTTTTTGCTGGAACACTTCACTAGCAGAGCATATACCGTATGGCAACCTCAGAAATTTGTAGCGACCAAAGGGGGTATTGAATGTGCATAGATCCGAAGACTTGGCGGTTAACTTCACATGCCAAAACCCATTTTTACTGTCAAGAGTACTAAAAAACTTAGCTCCAGCCATTTTGGCAGAAATTTCTTCAAAAGACGGAATTTGGAAATGAGGCCGCATTATTGCAGCGTTAAGATCTTTCGGATCTAGGCACAGTCGCATATCTCCATTGTTCTTAGCAACTATGACTAAAGATTGAACCCATTCTGTAGGCTTAACTACTTTCTCAATTATTTCATGTTTGACCAAATTGTCTAGTTTCCTTTTTAATTTAGGTTTTAATGCAAGTGGAACTTTCCTACATGCATGAATAACTGGAAGAGCACCTTCCTTTAACTGAATTTCATGTTCACCTTTTATACATCCAACACCAGACATCAAGTCTGGGTATTCATCAAGAATACAATGAGAAGACTCAGGACCTTCATTTGAGCCTTTATTACCTTTTACATTGTCAACCCTTTTTATGAGGTTCAGTTTGACACAATCGGACAACCCCAAAATGCAAGGCGATTTACTATTTACAACAAAAAACTCTACACTATGTACTTCATCTTTGTGTTTAACATCAAGGGAGCATTTACCTACAGTGTCTAAGCCTTGACCTGTGTAAGAGGTTAGCCTAGCTTTGGTTGGCTCGAGTTGTACATTTAGGTTAAGATCATCAAAAACTTTCTTACTTAATATGGAAATATCAGCACCTGAATCAAGCTTAAAACTAACATTTTTATCATTGATCAACAAATCTGAATGCCACTGGCACTTACCATATTTATTTTTGTTTGAGACAACATGTATCTCCCCTACAAACAAATTATCATCATCTTCACTGGAATCATTAATAACATTACACATATTTACATTCTTATTTTTGCATTTAGTAGCAAAATGATTCAAAACACCACACTTTGCACATTTCTTACCGAATGCAGGGCATTTACCATAAGCATGATTGTAACCACAACGGGAACACACAAACTGAAACTTCTGTTTGTTGTTGTTGATGAAGCCCTTTTTTAGATGAGTCTGCGTCGTCTGCGAGTGCAGCCGTTCTGCTGAAGTCGGTCTGCTACGATTGCGTATGAAGCTGTTTGATCGTGACGTCACATGTTGCCCTTTCTTGCAATCCTTGCTTGCAATTTTGTGCACGTCTATACTTGCCGATCTAGTGTCTGAGCAAATATCTCCTAATTGTTTGCTAGCAGTTTCTGAAGCCCTACATATTTCCAAAGCTTTATTTAAATCTAGGTCTTTAGTTTGCAAAAGTCGGTCTTTCAATGTTCTATTTCTAATACCCAAAATGAGTTTGTCTTTGATTAAACTGTCTGTTAACTGACCAAACTCACATGAGCTAGACAAATCCCTAAGATCAGTTACAAAAGAGTCTATATTTTCATCAAGGTTTTGCTCACGCAAAAAGAAAATATGACGTTCATAAGTTACATTTTTAGTGGGTATAAAATAATTATCAAACTTAGATATTACAGTCTCTAACTTGTGCTTGTCTTCTCCTGTTGAATACTGAAAATTGTTGTAGATTTTCAGAGCACGATCACCAATGACTGACAGTAAGAGAGCGATTTGATAATCACTAGTCTCTTTTTCACTTTTGCTAGCAACCATGTAGATTTTAAATTTTTGTTTGAAAAACGACCAATTTTCTGACATATTACCTGACCATGTCAATTCTGATGGTGGGCGTATTGAAGGTGTAGTCGAACTTTGCACGACGATGGACGTTTTTTCCTCCTCTTCTCCTGCTTTCGGCATGATTATAAAGCTTCAACGTCTTGTCTCAATAATTAAAAATAACTGTATTAAATTCAAACATACTTTTAAGACTCACATAATTAAATTTTACCGACTGCGCCATGTGATATGGATCGCAGGTCGAGGTTCGTTAAATGATAGGCATGTTAACGTTGGCATGGGTTTATTCAAAGTGACCGAGCACTCAATCTAGGTCTAACGGTACAGTTCAAACTCAGTACAGTCCAAGTACAACAACAAGAGTACAGTCTGGTCGAATGATATAAAACTAACATGGTATATATAAAAGAACATATTATGACAATATGTGTATATAAATTTGAACGAATGGTGTTTTTGGCTTCTGGGGACATAAAAATGAAAAATATCTGAAAAAAGACAATTAATTCTTGAACCTTCTAAACTACATTCTTGCAAATTATCAATCAAGTAAAAATATCATAAAAAATGCTTACCAAACATCGAGCAACACGTTTTAGTTCCTAGGAACTTCCTCTTGAGGGGGAAGTTTCCCATTCTCTTCCCTATAAGGGAAAACATTTCTGCAGCCTCGTCCACTAATGTTCCTTTTAGTATATTGACCATCAAACAATGTGAATCTTTCCCTCCGATTGTAGACATTACATTCACCTGAAAATAAAATGTATCAGTTACTTGATGAAACATTCTAGTAGGCCTATCCATTTTAATGTTAAGCTGACCAAATCTATTTAATTTTTAATTGTTAGGGTAACTTCTGCACAAAACATTTTAAATCCTACCCTAGTGTCCAGGCTTTAGCGAAGAAAGAATTGATGGAATCTCATTTAGAATAAATGGCATCACAAAACTGACACTGACACAGTCTTTCATCCTCTAATTTGCATAAAATGACTTTCTTGCAACACAATTGAATTAAAACACAGAATAATCTTACATATATAATACGCTAAGCCGATTTTTGTGAATAGAACTCCTCGCTCATTTTTGGACCGATTTTGATGATTAAAGTGTCAATAAAATTGCCCTGATCTGTAGTTTTGCAAAAGTTTTTAGTTTTTTGACATCTTTATTAGTTTGGGCAGGATCTTCCATCAAAGTTGGATTTTCTCCAATAAGATTAACATGGGGGAATCTAAATATTTAATTGGAAACTTTATCTCCACTAATTTGAGAGAACGGCTGGGCGTAGAAACTTGGTAGAGGTGTCCAAAGAGAGGTCTTGGTCTGTAGATGAGTTATCAAAAGAAAAACGAAGTAAATTCACTTAGGGCTCTGCCCCAGAAGCCTTTAAAGATCCTGGACTAACATGGGAGGCCTGTCTTAGAATGACTGGTATAAAATTACAATTATTTCAAGATATTGACATGCATTTGTTCATAGAAAGTGCAATCAGAGGAGGAGTCAGTATGATTTCCACACGTTACGCTAAAGCCAATAATAGATATATGGGTGAACATTATGATCCCAATAAAGAGAGTGTGTATTTAATATATTTAGACTGTAACTCACTATACTCTACAGCAATGTGCGAGCCACTGCCCGTGGATGGATTTCGTTGGACTAATGAGATTGACTACAAAATATACAAAAATAATCAAAATGATGAGTTTGGATACATTTTAGAAGTTGATTTAAAATATGATAAAAGCTTACATGATTTACATAATGACTATCCATTAGCACCTGAGAAAATGAATGGAAAATGAATACACAATTTAAATGACAAAACTAAATATATTTTACATTATAAAGCATTACAAAAATATGAGGAATTGGGTTTGATTGTTACAAAATACCACAGAATTTTAAAATTTAGACAATCAAAATGGCTTGCACCCTATATTAATTTTAATATTGAAAAACGAAAATGGGCTAAAAATGGTTTTGAAAAAGACTTTTACAAATTGTTAAATAATAGTCTCTTTGGTCGAACAATTATGAATCAACGCAAGTTTCGTGATATATATCTCAAGGATGAGTCACTATTAACAAAATATGTCACTAATCCAAGGTTTGACTGTAGCAAAAAGTTCGATAACAATTTGCATGCTATACATTTGAATAAATTAGTTGTAAAGTTTAATAAACCTATATATTTAGGCATGACAATTTTGGATATAAGTAAAGTAATAATGTATGATTTCCACTATAATTATATGTCAAAATTTAAGAACAAAAGATTTCTAATGACAGACACTGATTCTTTAATGTATTCTATAGTTACAGAGGACTTTTACAAGGAAATAGAATATGACTTGCACTATTTTGATACCTCTGGATATAGTAAAGACCATTTCTTATACTCTGATAAAAATAAAAAAGTCACTGGCAAGTTTAAAGACGAATTAGATGGTCATATTATGTATGAATATTGTGGTTTAAGACCAAAGTTATATTCTTACATTCCTCTAAAATGGTTATATGAAGAAGACAGGCAAGCTTTAGAGGTCAAAAAAGCTAAGGGAGCTGATGGTGCCACAGTTAAACATCTCCTTAGACATCATCATTATTTGAACTGTCTTGCAACTGGGCAAGATTACTATGAGAATGTGACGAGAATTAAATCTACAAACCATCATCTTCAAACCTTAACCACGAACAAGAAAGTACTATCCTTTGTCGATGACAAGAGGTTTATTCTGGAAGATGGCATCAACACTCTTGCTCTTGGTCATTATAAAATCTAGGATCTATAAATTGTATGTGTAGATTTGTATGTGCTATTCAATGCTGCAAAATAAATGCAAATTCTAAAAAACTTCAGTCTTTCATTTATTTACCCTGATAAAATTGGTCAAACATAAATCTATATTTACCATTATTCTTTGACCTTTCTTTGTCTATTACGAAAAAGCCATATTTAGTTTTATCCCAACATTGATGACAGAGATTTTTAAATTGGTCAAATGAAAAGTCATTACCAACATGATTGTGATATACATGTTTTAAATTTAAATCATCTTGTTTTAATAATATTAGGAAATTTACATTATCACGTAAATGTTTGTGTACTTTGCTGTAAGATTGACACAAGTAAAAACAGTTAATATTTTTATGTCGACCCATTGAGAAAAATTGTGTAATATTTGGACTATTTATGTCATCAAATACAACAACTGACTGTGATTTACATCATTTGGTGTGATTTCACAGTCAGTAAATGTGTGTAATTTCACTTCATCACACAAACTAAATATTTCAATTATTTTTTTATATTTTTCTTGTTCTAAAGATTTAGATATTAAATATAAGTTTGTAAATTTTAATCCTTCCTTTCTTACAATTAAGTTATAAATTACAACCGTCTTTCCACTTCCACTTGGACCACAAATAACACATCGAATATTGGTAGGAAATAGACCCAACTTCTTTGGTATATTTTCCTTAGTATGTACTATTTTAAATTTGTGTTTTTGTTGAATAAAAGACATTTTAATAAAAATGGTAAAAAATGATAAGAAAACATGTAAAAAGGGCAAAGGTTTATTCCTAAAGCCTTACAGGGGTCGAGGGTTATTGAATACTCTTATAAATAACCTTCCATTCCCACTTCACATACCATCATATCGGTACTGTGGACCTGGAACGAATATTTGTGAGAATCTAGCTAAAAATGTACCTCCAAAAAATAAGTTAGACTCTTATTGTAAAGAGCATGACATATTCTACATGAATAATCCCGATACCGCTGCTCGGAACAAAGCAGACATGAGATTAGCAGACTTAGCTTGGACTAGAGTAACGGCGAATGACGCAAATCTTGCTGAAAAAGCAGCAGCTTATGCCGTGACAAATTTGATGAAGGCAAAAGCAAAAATGGGAATGGGATTAAAATTTAATAAAAAAGATGGACAACTACCAGCTGTTAGAGGCCGCAAAAGACGTGCCTCACTTCCGGGGGGTGTACCTAAAAAACGAGCTAAAAAATCTAACACCAAGAGTAAAAGAGTGCGGAATAGTTAATTTAGACAGTTCATCTGGCACACACTGGACAGCATATCGTAAAAATAAAGATATTGTAATTTATTTTGACCCATTTGGGATCCAACCTCCGAAAGAAGTAATTAAATATTTTGAGGGATATAAAATCTACTATACAACCGATCAAATACAAGAAGATTTATATAGTTCTATTTGTGGAATTTTATGTTTATCATTTATATATTCTTTATAAAAATGGATTCATTTACTATAACATTTTCGGGTACAGAGCCAGAGCTAAAGTCAGTGTTCTTTCCTCCCATAGAATTAAATGATGATTATGTAATTGGATTGGTAGATTTTCAAAGTTATAATTCTATATTTAATGTTAAAAAACCTCTAAATACTTTAACATATTACAAAGTAGAGAAAATAACATTACCAAAAGGAGAGATCTCAGTTGATGATTTAAACAATTTATTAGATGGTAAACTTAAAGTTTTAATGGATAAAAATGGAGAAGCATTAATTAATACTAAAGTCAAACTTATATTCAAAGGGCTTATTCCAAAATTAAATCAACTTAAAGGCAACAAATTAACCATTGGAGAAGGTGATGATGTTTTCTTTTATGACCACAAAGCTCCAATTATAATAGAAATTTCTGAAGGTACATATGAGGTGGTTGAGCTTGCAAAGGAAATTCAAAAACAAATCCCAGAATTTTTCCTCACAGCTAATAATCAAACTATGAAAGCGTCATTACATTCTGTCCATGTGTTTGATTTTACAAAGCCTTGTTTAGGTTCTGTTTTATTGGGATTTAAAGGAGTTTCTACTTGTGGTGTTCCATTCGAATCTACAAATAAAATAAACATTTATAATGTAAATGTGATTAGAGTAAAATGTAATATTGCAAACGGATCCTATTTAAATGGCAACAAATCACACACCATACATAGCTTTTATCCAGAAGCTCCTCCTGGCTACAAAATTATTGAAGTTCTAAGAAATATTATATATTTTCCTGTAAATAAGAGAAGTTTAGATGTTGTCAGTATTACATTTGCCGATCAGCACGACAAGGCAATTGACTT